ATATAATAAATTTGAGTATCTTGGTTGAAAAATATAAATATATTATTGATCCTAAATGGGACGTGACAAACCTTCACGATATGATTTATGGTTAGACAATCAAAACTTCATGCTAATTATTAAGTATTAAGAATTTTCAATATAGGCATACCATTCACTTATGAAAGCGAGAAAATAAAATATCTATAAAATTCAAATAAATTATACATATAGATAAATTATTTAATATAAATAATAAAATATAATTTTCCAGCCAACGAACCGTGTAAAATACTTGTTCGGAAGTAAGATACTTAAACATCTACATTTGAACAAACAATATAGTTTCAAAATCTCTACATTTCTAAGGGGTAAATTGCAAATTTGGTCACTAAAATTATTAAACAATTTCACGTTTGCCACTAAAATTAGTTTATTCTATTTTTGGTCACTTATATTAGTTCAACAGTTCAAGTTTGGTCACTCTCTGTTAGTCTCCGTTAACTTTATCTGACGTGGCAGTCAACTCTGAAAGTTGACCGTTAAATAAGTTATGTGACAATTAAAATTTTTTAAAAAATAAAATTTAATTTGTTATAATTTTCACATCATTATCACAGTATATTAAAAAATTATAGTTATAATTTTTATTTCCCCCATCTGTTTCTCCACCTGCAAATCTTCATCGTTCCCTCTAAACCCCCAAAACGAAGAGAAACCACTAGAATCCAATCAACTCGCCACACAGATTGTACCGATTAGCGACAGCGTCGAAGTACCTGGCGATCACCGGCGTCGGGATCAAAGACATCAAACTCGCCAAGAATTCATGGATTTTCCCGGCCAATTCTGCACCTAGTTCGACATCTCCCCGGTCAACTACACCCTCGAGGCCCAGGCCATGTCCGCCGATCCTCCCTGCCGTCTTAACAATCGGCCCGCGCAATGACGACGAGGCTATGCTCAAGTATGTGAACCAGCTGGTGCAGGGCGTGATCTGAGGCGAGACTGTTAGTGTTGTGGTATATGATCTACGATTGAACCTCTCCCAACAACTCGAGTTATTGGGATCAATTGGTTCTTGACATGGTATCAAAGCCTTAAGTGACCGAGAGGTCTTGTGTTCGATTCCCGGTGATCCCCATTTGTTAAGCACATGGTATTCTTGTCTTCAGACCTGTGCAAACTTCAAGCCCTTGTGAGTGGATTTCGTTTGAGGGGGCGTGTTAGTTGTAACACCCCGATATTTGGGTGTAGGTTCGACCAAACGATTGGATCGACAATTACGTACGAAGCATGAAAATCGTAAATTAGAAATAATAATAATAACATTAATAACTAATGTTATTATCTTCATCCTAATAATAACCATCCTCATCTGCACGTTACCCCAGCAACAACAAAAAGGATGGACAAAAAAAAAAAAGAGAGAAAAGAAACCCAAACACCATTACACTCTTACGCTCCCATCTAATTAAACGCCACCAAATTAATCTCCATTTCCTAACGTACCAATCTCTCTCCCCTCTCCTCTATAATTAACAAAAACGTTGGCGGTGGAAAAGGAATTCACCCGACCCCATATCTCTCGTCCTCTCTGCCCTAGCAAAACAAAAGCTGCAATAATCGACCAATAGCGGCCCATCCATCTACCTTGGCAACCATTTCTTTTTCAATCTGTAGCAGTAGCCGTAAGAAGCCTAGAGACAGCATCAAGAGAGCTGCCTCCATCGACGACAGCGTGTCCTCTGGCGTTTTAGAGATAAGGTCCCCGATCTCCCCTGTCCCAAGTTCGAACCTTAAACTCCGTTTAACCCAACGAACGCACACGATGATCGTACCTCCGATGGCAGCCTCGGCGTAGTCGATCTCAACAAAGCTTCGAAACCTTGGTACCATCGTGGGGAGGGGGATTTCAGGAACATCCCGGTGTTGACGGAATTGAATTTCAACGTCGGACGAGGAAGATACGAGCCTCAAAAGCTTGGGGCGTGAACCGGATAGTTCAGGTACTAATCTGTCTATTCGAAAAGCATAAGGATTGTGGCAGTAATTTTGTTTCCTAGAAAATGTCCAATTTAGTCCCTCATATTTTTGGTTCGAGCAGCTTAGTCCCTAGTATTTTGAAAGATAACAATGGGCCGAAAATAGTATTTTCTCATGGTTATTATTATTCGTCCACGAACTGTACGAACTTTTATGAGTTGTTAATTTTATAAACTAGGGGATATTCGTGGGATGTATGAATATAAATTTGAAAAATTTTGGAGCTTTATTTATAAGTGTAAAAAAATAGGTAAAAAGGAAGTTTTAACCAAATAGAATATTATTCAAGCGAGTATGTTTGATTTAATAATTTTAATAGAATTCAAATACCCATGAGTTTATCCATTATTCATTTCGGTGTTTTTAGAGTCAATTTTTGTAATTATGAAAATTGGTAAGATGTCAATTTTAATTGATTAAATTACGGTTTTCATATCTTTAATTAATTTATTAATTTTTTTTTTGAAAAACTAGAATACTGGTAGTTTTTTTTTTAAGTTAAGATAGGGAATTTTAGATTTTGTTAATGTAGATATAAAATATATTTAGGTTGCAAGTCAATAGGAAGAAGGGGTTAATTAATATGTAAATTATAGTTAATAATTTTAGTTTATGTTATGAATTATCCAAAGTCAGAATTTGGAGTTTTTAAGATGAAAAGGGTTTGTTGAAAATTTAGGAGATTTATTTAATGGATTTTTATGTTATTGGTAATAGGTTAAGTCTTGTGAATTTGGGGAAAGATTTTCAGTGTTTGAGAAAAATTATTTCAAGTGATTAAGGGTGTTTTTAAGGAATTTTGGGACTAAGCTGGGAGGACGGAAAACTCTAAGGAATACCGACTAAGAGTAATTAATCTCAATCGATAGGATTAAGGAAGCGATCAATTTAACGATCTCCGCGTCCAACGAATTAAAGTATCGACACTTGAGAGGTGAGTGTAAAGGGGGTAAATTCTACGCCTTACGATATTTCACTTTTGAGGTTGACCGCTATGTGCTATATATGCCTTTGTGTGTTTGTTGCATGTGATTGCGTGTGATTTATGCTTCCAGTTATACATATGATAATGTGTGTTATATTTATAAATAAGTTGAAGTTTAAGAACACGCTTTCTTTTCAGAAGTACTTCACCTTCAAGAAGGTGAAACCGTTTTAAGAGTTTTAGTCACTAGCGCCAGTCCGTTGTCATTTGAGATTTTGAGATAGAGCAGCAGTTATGCTCTTAAGACTTTTAAGATGAGCAACAGTTATGCTCTTGAGATATTTTAAGATGAGCAGCAGTTATGCTCTTGAGAATCGTGGAAGAAGAGCCTTCCACGATAAGTTTAAGTTTCAGGAAAGCCTAGATGGCTTCTCATACGTATGAGTTGGCAACCGGACTAGCTAGTGAGGGATCCCAGTGTCAGTCAAATATTTAAGTTGAGATTTAAGCTTTAAGTATAATTTTTTAAAGAGTAGAAGTATCATCCACCAGTTTAAGCTAAGTTATCAAGTAAGAAATACTAGGCTTTTCAAACGTAAGGGCGTAGACTGACCCCAACTCACTCACCAGATCGTAGAGGAAATCCTAACCAGCCAGTTCGTGATCAGCAAGCTAGAGGAGCTCAACACCATCGTCGCTGAGAGATGTCGAGGCAGGCGTCAGAGTAAGCACCGAAGAACTTTTCAAGCTATTAAGACTTTATGGTTAAGAGTTAAAGACTGGAGATTCATTTCTTATGGACGATTTAAGTTTTGCCCACGTGTTTAGGGCTTCGATTTGAGATATTAAGATGTTTGAGTTTGGTGTTTTATTTTAAAGTTGTGTTATTTGAGATTTTTAACTATACCCTGGGGTAGAAATGTCATTTTCCAAGTTCAAAGTAGTGGGATGTTTCATTAGTGTTGTGGTATATGATCTACGATTGAACCTCTCCCAACAACTCGAGTTATTGGGATCAACTGGTTCTTGACAGAGACCCGCGTCCATGACTATGAAGGAGATCTTCAAGCAGACCAAGGATTTGAAGCACGACGTCTTCGGCAAGGTCCAGCTCGAGCTCAACCAGTTCGGGCTCTACATCTACAACGCAAACATCAAGCAGCTCGTCGATGTCCGCAGATGGAGGTCGCCAATCAACCCAAGGTCGACGTCGCTAAGGCCTGGGTGAAGGGGAAAATTGGGTCCAAAGATCGGGACGGGCTGGTGAAGTAGAACGCGACAAAGATCGATGCGGAGACGAAGACCATCGCGATTCAGAGGCAGGGGGAGGTCAAATTCTAATTTCAATCTATGTTTCTTAATTTTAATCTAGAAATTGATTGGTTGATGAATCTAGGTACCCTATTTCGAATGACTATTTATTGATTGATGATTATGGGTGAAAATTGATCGATTGATGAGCATCTGGACCGGCGGGGATGTCGCGGGCGGCAGCGAGAACGGGGATGGGCTTGGTGAAAGGGAATGTTACGGTGTTTACAGGGGGGAAATTATAATTATAATTTTTATATTTAATTTATTTTTAAATTTATTGTGATAATGAGGTGGAAATTATAAGAGATTAAATTTTATTTTTTTATTATTGTTTAATTGCCACATTAGTTATTTGACGGTCAATTCTCAGAGTTGACTACCATATTAGATAAAGTTAACATAGAGTGACCAAACTTGAACTGTTGAATTAATTTAAGTGATCCAGAATGGAATAAACTAATTTTAGTGATAAATGTGAAATTATTTAATAATTCTTATTCCACTGACCAAACTTGCAATTTACCCAATTTCTAAGTATCCACATTTCTAACTCTTGCTTTTAGATTGAAATCCAACCAAAGAATTGCCAAGTTAAAACTTAATAATGGGCCGTCCAGCCCAGCACTTCAAGCTGTATTATCATTGGGCCCAGAATACGGAATCCGGTTAGGAGAAGGCATAATTACATTTAAAGCCTTGTATGTTGACCAGGAACTCGTTCCTCCTTCAGCAGCAGCTCGCCGTTCCCTTTGTTTTTTTGCCAATCGTCCGCTGCCCGGAACAGCTGCAATTTCCCCGACGGGATGTGCTCTGATCACGAATGCCCTCCCGGAAAACGACGCGAAATGGATTCAAAAACGGCAGACACGCCGATCAACGAATTGGGCGACGATCTCCTCCGAGAAATTTTGATTCGCCTCCCAAACCCTAGGTTCACCTCCCGCTGCAAACCGGTATGCAAGCAGTGGAACTCCCTGATCTCAAATCCCTCCTTCCGTGGCCGTTTCATTTCTCACCACCAGAGAAAGAACGAAAGCGGGGGAGAGCCCTCTGTTCTGATACTTCCCGCCGCCGGGGGCGGGTATACTCTCTATTACTGGGCTTGATCATATGAGTCGTCATATTAAATATTTGTATCAACGATTTGAAGGATATGGCTTCCTTCTTCTTCTTCTTTGGTATGCCGGCTTTGGATTTTCGTCTTATATCTATGTATGATGTAGTGAGTCTGGGTTTTCCCTTCCAATTTAATTATGGTTTTGTTCTTTCTTTTTTTTTTTTTTTTTTTTTTTTTGTATTTCATGATTTCAGCATTTAGATGACACAAACACACACCCCACACGACCTAACCAGTTTAAGAAAGAATATAAACAGGAGAGCATCAACAACAAGCAGCTAGCTACCTAGCGAAAGAACGAATAGAAATTTTATGGACGAGCAAGAAGATGTTGCATGGTAGGATTAGCAGGAATGCACTAGAGATGTATGTTGGACAAAGTTGAGAAGGGTGACTCTAATTCTTTCTGTGCTCAATACTGTTTCCATCTACGTGATGCTATTGATAGGAAGAATGAGTGATTTGTTCGGAGATCCAAGGAGGGGGAAGAGAAAATTCTATTTGGTGGGATGACAAAAAAAATTCTACAGGAAGAATGAGTGGATTGTATGCCACGGAATATCGTTCGACGCCCTGAAATGTAACAGCGGTTTCCAAGTCGAGGGGATGGAAATCGATTATGTGCTTGGTCAACATCACCGGAGATTTTCTTCTTGAAATGTTGCTATAATCGGACCAAGGAAAAAATCGCGATTCTTTCGTGCAATTTCAGCACTGTAAAGTTGGAGCTCGTTGCTGATCACGTACTACCGTGGGAAGTTTCTCATGATCGTCCGATGGTGTTCCAGCCTAAAGCTACTTGTTTCTTTACCCCAATTCCCAGCTACCAGAAGTTACTAGGTATGTATGTATAATGTGAAAGGATTGTAGGGATATTATTGTTGTGTGAAAGCTTATGTGATTGTATTAGATTTACAATAGGTGATTTATACAAGAGTCATGCGGAGAGAAAGTAGAGGAACCCAACAATCTGGATATCCCACTTAGCAACAGAAAAGTGGAGTGGAAAAAGAAGAAAATAAAAAATTCTTTTATGTTTCTGTTACTTCTCTAATACGCCCCGCAAGACAGAGGAGGTATCAACGACACCGATTTTGGATCTGAGGAGAAGAAACCGAGTAGCCGGAAGAGGTTTGGTGAGAGCATCGGCAAGCTGATGAGCAGTGGGAACATAACGAACTCGTAGGCGACCAGCGTGCACAAGTTGACGCACAAAATGATAGTCCAAGGCGAGATGCTTCATGCGGGAATGGAAGACAGGATTGGAGCAGAAGTAGGTAGCACCCAGATTGTCGGAGTATAGTGTCGGCGGTGCGGGAACTGGCTGACGAAGCTCAACCAAGAGATTCTGAATCCACTCAAGTTCAGCAGTAGCATTAGCGATGGAACGGTACTTGGCCTCTGTACTGGAACGAGCAACAGTCCGCTATTTCTGAGATCGCCAGGAGATAAGAGTGGAGCCCAAGTAAACAAGGTAGCTAGAGGTGGAAGAACGATCATCTAAATTTCCTGCCCAAATCCGAGTCGTCGAATGCAGAGAGATGGAGTGGGAGAGAGTGTCGGAGACGTAGCGAAGGAGGCGCTTGACACATTGCCAATGAGAAGTCGTCGGAGCATGCATTTATTGGGAGAGTTTGTTGATAGAATAGGCAATGTTCGGACGGGTGTAGACGAGATACTGCAAAGCACCGATAAACTGGCGAAAACAAGTAGCGTCCGTGGGGGAAATACCATCATCCAGAGTAAGGGTGGTAGAGGCAGCAAGGGGGGTCGGAGCAGCCTTGGCATCGACCATCATAAACCGATGAAGAAGATCAGTCATATACTTGTGTTGGGAGAGAATGTAGCTAGTACTGGTAGGGAGAACCTCAATGCCCAAAAAATAATTAAAGTCGCCGAGTGCCTTGAGTGAAAATCGACTCGAGAGAGCAGCCTGAAAGGATGTGAGAGTCTCCTCATCATTATCAGTGAGGAGCAAGTCATCGACGTAGACCAAGAAATAAAGGAGAGTAGTCCCACGAGAGTAGACGAAGAGAGATGCATCAGACTGAGTCTTTTGAAACCCGAATTCTTGGAGAAAGTCACTCAAGGTAGTGTACCAAGCCCTGGGTGCCTGGCGAAGACGATATATAGCACGAAGAAGACGACAGACATGATGTGGATAAGAGGGATCGACAAAACCCTGAGGTTGCTCCATATAAACTTCCTCGTGTAGTGGGCCCTGGAGGAAAGCATTATTAACGTCGAACTGAGAAATCGACCAACCATAGGAGAGAGTCAAGGTGAATATTGTGCGGACGGTGACAGGTTTGACAATTGGACTGTGTGTCGGTGAAGTCGAGACCCGGACGCTGAAGAAACCCTTTAGCCACCAGGCGAGTCTTAAACCGTTCAATAGAACCATCAGAATTGTGTTTGAACCGATAAACCCAACGATTGCCCAAGACATTATAATGTGGGAGACGCGGAACAAGATCCCACATGGAATTGGCAATTAGAGCCTGGTTCTCAGCTGAGAGGGTAGTGGACCACTCAGGATAGGAAAGGGCCTCAGTTATATTTCTGGGCTGGAGGGGTGGAGGCCCGGGCGTTGATGAAGACCCTCGGACGGGGGAAGAGGCGGCCGCTGGAGAGGGTGGGCCTGGAGAAGGCCCAGGCGAAGATGCAGCAGAGTGACAGGGGAGAGTGGAGATGGTGGGCTCGAGGGACAGCAGCCAGGAGTCAAGCATGGGCGTATCGGCACGAGAGTCATCATTAGGAACACATGGAAATTTAGTCTCAACAAAAACAACATGACGGGATAGAAAGATACGATGAGTAGTAGGGTCGTAGCAGCGATAAGCACTACGCTGTGGGCAATAACCAAGAAAGAGACAAGGTCGAGAACGAGGGTCAAGTTTAGTGGGTGAGTAGGGACGCAACCAAGGATAACAGATACAACCAAAAATACGAAGTTTATGATAATTAGGAGGTAAATTGAACAAAATAGTATAGGGAATTTGACCACGTAAGGCAGAAGAGGGAAGGCTTCAGGGAATTTGGCCGGCTTCAGGGAACCCCTGCTGCGCGTAATTCCTTGGCCGAGAGAGAGCAGAGCCGCCGCCTCCACCTCTGCGAGACAGCCCCTGTGTGTAAAACGTCGTAGGAACAGAGGACAGCCTCGATTGCTCCTTTAAATCAGCCTCGTACTCAACAAGGGAGTCCAGGAGATCTTCAATTGTAACAGTGGATCCTCGAGCACGGACAACAGCGGTGAAAGAGTTGTAGTCAGGGCCAAGACCCCTAAGGCAATGAACGACCAGGTCCAAGTCGGAAACAGGGTCATCAACGAGCGCAAGCTCTGCTGAGATTTGCTTTAAATCATTGACAAAGGAGACAACATCACGATCGTCTTTGACTATACGGCTCATCTTCCCTCTCAGATTGATGATGCGAGATTGAGAGCGACCAGCATAAAGTTTTTCCAGAATTGACCATGCTTCACGAGATGTTTTTGCAGCAGAAACATAGGAGTACAAAGACTCAGAGATAGAGCATCTAAGTGCATTGAGAATGAGCTTATCTTGTCGAAACCAGCAATGATAAGCAGGATTGGGCTTGGGGTCGTCATTTGTTGTGATCGTTTGAGTAGGGAAAACGCCGGTGCCGTCGATGTAACTGATAAGATCCAAACCCATGAGAAGAGTCTCCAGCTGTGACCTCCATGAATTGAAATTGGTCGGCGTGAGTTTTAGCGGCAGCTGAGCAGCAGGATTAAAGGTAACAATTGTATCATCAGAGGACATCGAGCCACTTGAAATATTGGAACCAGACATACTATCGAAGGAAAGAATGAAGAACAGAGGAAGAATGAAAAATGAAGAATGGATCGAGTCAGTTGATCTTGACTAGCTCTGATACCATGAAAGGATTGTAGGGATATTATTGTTGTGTGAAAGCTTATGTGATTGTATTAGATTTATAGTAGGTGATTTATACAAGAGTCCTGCGGAGAGAAAGTAGAGGAACCCAACAACCTGGATATCCCACTTAGCACGTCCCAGAAAAATAGCAACAGAAAAGTGGAGTGGAAAAAAGAAGAAAATAAAAAATTCTTTTGTTCTTTTATGTTTCTGTTACTTCTCTAATATAATGGAAGCTATAACGAGTTAGTCCAAAAGTAGAAAATCAAATTTGGTTTCAAATGCTTTAGACAAAGTTATCCTTCGCGCTTGTTTGTAACTCCACGCCGGCCGCCGGGGAAAGGTGGATTCTCTGATACTGTGCTTCATGAGCCGCCATGGCTTTCTTCTTCTTCTTCTTAATTTGATTTCCGGGTTTTGGTTTTTGGTCTTATAAATCTATATATAATGTAGTGAGTGTGGTTGGTTGACTTTTTGAAGTTCATCCTTGCAATTATTTATGGTTTTGTTTTGTTGTTGAAATGTCGATTTTATGATCTTCGTGATTTGATTATGTAGACGACACAAACACAGACGTCACCGGTTCCTGACGTAACCAGTTTAAGAAAGAATAAAAACATGCTTTACGGAATTGGGAATGGAGAGGGTGGTAGTTCAGCTAAGTAAGAGGCTAACATCCATGGTGATTAGTCAACATAAAGGGACCTAGATATGTGCCACGACGAGTGGTGTATATATATTATATGGCTCTAAATGAGATAGGTCGTTGACAGGCTCGATGTTTGGTTCGCAAAAAACTCGTTTGATGTTATGTTCGTTTATAATAAATTGTGTTTTTAGCTGAGCTTTATTTGGTTCGCAAGACTCGTGAGGCAATTCGACTAGATGTACATGTTGAGTTCAAGTCGCGAGTTATCTTGTTTCGAGCTAGCCATATGCTGGCTATCATTTTTTTATTTTCAAAACTTTGGCTTCCATGTTGTAGAAATAAAAACGATTTACATAGTAAATTGTATTTACTCAAAATGAAAAATAACGAGGTTTTTTTTAATCTGACATCCAACTGATATGATTATGAAGCATCGTTAACGGTATTATTATTAGTAACTAATCAACAACTAAATCTACACAATAAATAAAAGCCAAATGAGAAAACTTGAAGCCCCATTTCAAATATCTTGCATCCAGAGTGAAAGTAGGAAGGACATTATGGTCTTTACAATTACTTTTTTTTTATTCATTAAAAAGACACTTACTAGGATTCGAACCATGACCAATTTAAAGAAAATCACAGATCATAACCAATCACACTAAGTACATTTGTTGTATCTTTTTAAATTAAAAACAAATAATCGCTGAGAGGAAAAAACCATTCCGCCATTTCAAATTTTCTGCTCCATGAGCGTTTGTAGGAAGAGTAGAATAGGGAGTGTCAATTTTTTTCTTTTTCCTCTGTGGAACGGGCCAACTTACTATACACATGCGGATTTAGACGGGTCCAGAAGTGTCAATTTTTTTCTTTAATTCCTTTTATTTCTC